TTGAACTTTAATTACTAACATCCTTCAGGATTCATTCCATTAGCCAAATCAAAAAGAATTAATTCAAAAGAAAAAATTAAAGTTAATAAAAACAAATTCATTTTTTCTTAACTTCTAAAATTTAAATTATTTTTTATGTTTTAACTAAAAATTCCTTTTATGTTTTGAATAATTGTTTGTTTTATTAAAATTGAATATTTAAAAATTTTTATAAAAATTAATAAATGAAAAATTTAAAAGCAATAATGAATAAATTTTTTAAGTGAAAAGGACAATTTTTAAAATTGCCACGTACTCTCTTTCTAAAAATTGACAGGATTTGGGCATTATAGAGAGAGAAGGCACCCCCGCCCCGTCACCCCCCCCCCTCCTTGGTCTCCACACTCGGCTAAAGTACATGTACTAAAATCAAATTTGAGTACAAATATTTATAACAAAAAATTGTTCAATGAATTATATACGGACACAAATGAATTTATAAGAGAGGGTATACAATAAATAGCGTTAATTAATACCTTATTTGTAAGTTTTTTTATACTCCGTTAATTTTTTGGAGATCTCGATAAAAGAATTATATTAAAACCTCATTTCTTTTTTTATTGTGTCTATTTACAATTGATAACTGGATTTAGATTTTAATGGTTGATAAATTGTTTTAAGTGTAATTTTGGGGGCTGGATCGGGAGAATGTTCAAAATTTGAGAATGGGAGTACGGGATCCCGTCCCGTACAAATGTTCAATAAAACAAGTTACGTATCCTGTGAATGCGATTTTACCGACCCCTATAAACTGTTATGACCCCGCTTACGTAGAGGAGCTAACAAAAACGTTTATCGCACAACGAAATACAAAGCAGATGAAGGTAGGTAGGAAGAACTAAAACTGAGACCGAGAACTAACTATTGGCTGGGCTTTTATACTAAAAACTTTAAGGGCTGACGCCCATACACAACACCTCCCCCCTTGAAAAAAAGGTTCGGCTTCACTTAAAGCCGAAGCTTTACAATATACTAACACTTTCCAGCCAAACAAACAAACAACAAAAATACATACACACATTTGGGGGAATAAGGACAATGGGAACAAAAAATACATACAACATTACAAAAAAATACAACAATAATATTATCACAAAATTTTATATATGTGGCTCATCTACATCTCCATTTGCTTATCCTCTTCAACATCTTTCATCTTTGACTGGTTCCCAACGTTGTTCAAAATTTGAGAATGGGAGTACATCTTTTTCTTCATCTTTTTCTTTGAGTTGTCCAAACTGCAGGCACTCGAAGAAGTTACACTACTTTCACTCAACACTTTTTCTTCACTAATATTCATTTTCCGAATATCTTCACTCAACAATTTCTTTTTATTACTCCACTCATCTCGACGGATCTCTTTAAACGACCTGGTCACAATACTCTTTAACACTGGCACTTTGATTTTCCAAGCGTTTTCCGTCTTTCTCAATATTTCTCCATTGAGCCACTCGATTTTTCCACTTCGTTTATTTGTATTCTTCACTTTCACTTTTGTCCCGTTCGGGAACGCATTCTTTTGTATCTTGAATGGTGCCTTCTTTTTACTCCACTTTTGGTACTTTGGCTTTTGGTTCCGACCTGACACTTCTTTCAATCCAGGCAATCCCAAGATACACACTTCACTATTCACTAAATGGAACTCCATAAAGACGTCTTTGTCTTTCACTCTCACTTTGCTTCTGAATTTTCCTTCAATTTCAACTTTGTTGTCACCCAGCCCAACACCACTGTAATTCACTTTTTCAATTGTTGGCTGTCCAATACTTTTCCACACTTCTTTAGTGACAACATTAATCTGCGATGCAGTATCAACAATCATTTCAATATTCAATTCTCCAAACTTCACTCTTTGTTTAATCCACTCTTCTTTTTCTACACTTTGCATTGGATCGAAGATATCCAAAATTGCACAATATGGAGAACCTGAATGATTGTTATCATTACTCCACTGCCTTTTAGGCTGAAACTGTTTATCATTCAAAAACTTACAATGCATACGCCAGTGACCAAAACGTCCGCAATTACTACACTTTTTCTGAATGACATTTTGCTGATACTTGACGTTTGGTTGCATTCACTTTCATTTTCACTATTTTCCCAATACTTTACTTTTTCCACTGTGTTGACCGCCGGCACTTCTTTTTTCACTTCACTAATTTTCTCCTTGACAAGGTACAGTGCCTCACTTTTATTGGCCATATGTGCCCGACACTCTTCAATAATTTCCTTCAATGTCACTGCCTGTCCTCTTTCACTTTTACTTTCAACACTCTTCATGGCAACTTGTCGCACTGAGGTAGCATCACTAGGCAACCCTGAAATAAAAATAAGAATTTTCAATTCTTCAATTGACAAGGCCATTTCTGCACGCTCACATTGAGCATTCACTACATTCCCAAACTCAACAATATCTTGGAGGTCACTACACTTAACATTTAAGGCCTCGAACCTTTTCAACAATTTGGACCTATGGTCGCTAAACTCTTTCACTAATTCACTACAGAGTTCGTCAAACTTCATCTCACTCAATTTGGTTGGCAGCATCTTCCGTTCAATCTGGGCATACTCTTCTGGCCCCAATTTACTCAATAACAATCTCACTTTAGAGGATTCTGGCAGGGTTTTACCCTCCTCCTCAAAATAGGACCGATGCCTGCCTAACCATGACTCAAAGGTCATACCACTCGACAAATCAAAAATGAACTCACCAATCATTGTCACTAATTTGCTATACAATTCGGTGTCGTGCAGTTCACTCGGCTTAAGCAGCCTCACTAACATTTTCTCAAATTGCTCCTGTTGAGCTTTCAGCAATTTCTCCACTGCTTTGACATCCATGTTCACTCACTAAAATACTTTTTTATCACTACACTTTTATACTAAACACTACAATTCACTAACCTTTCGGTTTTACAACACTGCACTATTTGTCCACACTTTACTTTCCTTGAACTGCACACAGCTTACGTAGACGAGCACTCACTGAAGTTGACGAACTGTTGTCGAGACCAGGTTCTTTTTGAACACGACCGCGCCACTTGTTATGACCCCGCTTACGTAGAGGAGCTAACAAAAACGTTTATCGCACAACGAAATACAAAGCAGATGAAGGTAGGTAGGAAGAACTAAAACTGAGACCGAGAACTAACTATTGGCTGGGCTTTTATACTAAACACTTTAAGGGCTGACGCCCATACACAACATAAACATTGTTTTTCTATGATAAAAAATTTTGATAACACATCATATTTACTCGTTAGGCATTTAGCAAGACAAAAATTATAAAATTCAAAATTTCTTATCACAATATTACGGAACAGGATCATTGAGTCCCGCCGGTTGAGTCCCGGAGCCACATTTTGGACCATAACTTTTCCAATTCTTAATCGATTTAGTTAATTAATATTTTAATCGAAAGCTCTTGATGTAAGGATTATTTTATCTATCAGGATTGATCTGATCAGATCAACATACAAAAAGTTACATCCTAATAAAGGTCAAAAATCACGATTACGCGCACTTAACTGGATGTAACTTTTAGTAGGATGATCTAATCAAATCAATGTACTTGGCAAAAATAATCCTCACATCCAGGGCTTTCGAATGATAAAAGATTTATTCTAATTCATTGAAAACTTAAAAAGTTAAGGCCCAAAATATGGCTCAGGGACTCAACCGGCGGGACTCAATGATCCCCTACCCCAATATTAACATTATTTACTTCGAATAATTTTTTTACATTAGAGTATTCTCAAAAGAGGGTGATGTGTTTAAGGGTAAATTGTTTAAGGGGGATTTTAAAGGTGGATTTTTTGTAAGATAAATTATCTCACCAAATAAAACTATAATTACTAGAAGGAGGGGAAACAAGATAATTAATTAATTTCAAGTTAAAACTGTTATTGATGTGACTGATTTCACACCACTCGTGTCATTAAATAATTAATTTGTATAAAATTCTATTAAATTAAAATTACATTTTTACCCAGATTTATACGAAAAAATGTTTGAAATGCCTTAACCCAAACGCCTTCTTTGTATATTTCAACATTTTCATCAACATCAAAAACTTTAGTTATAGTTAATTATTTTGGGAATTTGTCAAAGTGCCCCAAAATTTTTGCCCCCCCCCCCCCAATTTATCTCCTCCTCCGGCCTCTCCACTCGTCTAAATTCATGTAAAATCAAATTTGAGTAAAAGTATTTTATAACAAAAAATTGATCAGTAAATTAGCTACAGACGCGAAGGAATTTACAAGAAAGTAGAGTTGCACGAGGCGAGGTTTTACGGAAAACCCGAGTCCGAGGATCACCGAGGTTGAAAAGTTGAGATCGAGGTTGAGTGTCAAATTTGGACCCAAGACCGAGGTCGAGGATCGATAACTGAGGATTTTAAAAATTTGTATAACTATTCAAAATTTACTTAAATTTGATAAAATTTATCAAATATTCGCTAACGCATTGTTAAATTGATATGTTCTTCTGATTCAGAGCCAATAGGGTGCCTAAGATCATTCAACACAAATCCTTGGGCAAATAATTTCATAGATTTGATAAAAAAAATTTTGAAATACTTTGGTTTTGAAATTTGATGTGTAAAGGACTAGATAAAATTATAAGATCAAATACTTTAAAACTAATTGCTCTTTTGTTACGGTGGATTTAGACGGATATCGAAGGATCAAAGGAGCATACCCTAACATAATGCCTCCGCGGCAGAAAATCATTTGAGGACATGGGGGCGACAAGCTAGGAGCATTAGCCTACTTACACGCTTTTCTTTATTTTCAATTTAAAAAATTTTTCTTTTGATTCTCCCCTACTAATTACTTATCAGTCCAAATTATAAATTTCTCTCCTTTCTATTTTTCATTCAACTTTTCTTTTTTTCAGACCCGCCCCTCCCCATTCTCAGAATAATAATTAAAAAAACCTTACATTATTTTTAATAAAATTCATTTTTTGCTTTAACAATAGTCAGGGTTTGTTCAAAATATTCCTCTCTTCGCGTTTTTATTTTCAATTTTTATTTAATTTTTAATTTCAATTTTCCATTTTCTTATAAGATTGTTAAGTCGAACCTCCATATTTTTATTACACTTTAATGTAATGAACCTTTTATGAATGAAATAACCAATCTCGTTACCGGTCTCCGACTAAGATTTCCCCCTAAAATGACTTTCAATTTATCAAATCATCCATATAACGATTTTTTTGGTCCTTTCTAGTTGGTTATATCGAGATTCGTCTGTAAATAAAAATAATGTGTGACCATGAATTTGATGTTATTGTAATCGACAATGGTTCTGGAGTTTGTAAAGTATGTATATATTTATTATTTTTAAATTTGTCTAAATTGTTCGAACCCTCCAAAGGATCAAAGCAGGAATTGTGTATTTAATCAGATATTTTCATTAGAAATGCACAAAAGACTAATTCATAGTTAATTTTGTTTATAACTTAATACATAAATTAATAATTACTTTTAAAAATTTTTTTATTTCATAAAATTTCTACAAATTTTACTTACTACTTTTGTTTATTTTCTATTTGCTTTTAAAAAAAAGTCAGCCCATCCCCAAAGAATGATTAATTTTTATCTTTTTTAATAATTTTGTTTCAGAAAAATATTTTTTATAACTATTTTTGAACATTTAAAGAAATCATGAAATGAGCATTTTCGAGATTGTTGATTCGAGAGCTCGATCGTAGTTTTTTGAGATTTAAAGACTTTTAAGCTCAACTTTTTCAGAAAATTTTTGTCAAACAAATATGTAGTGGGGGTTCTCCGAAATTCGGACATGCTTATTTCAAGTTCAAACATTGGTTTCGAACTAATGAATTAAAAGTTTGAAGTTTATAAACATTTTAAGGCTGGTTTTGCTGGTCATAAGGAGCCTTGTATTATCTTTCCCTCAATTGTGGGACGTCCACATCACCCAGGCTTTTGGCATTCGTTTCGATTGGAAGACAATTATGTCGGCAACGATGCCCAAGCTATACGAGGAATTTTATCTGTCACAAATCCCATAGAGCGTGGAATTGTTACAAATTGGGAGGATATGGAGAGAATCTGGCATCATGTCTTCTACAATGAATTACGTGTCAAGCCTGAAGAATATCTTTTATTGTTGACTGAGGCTCCACATACCCCAAAGGCCGATCGGGAAAAGATGGCTGAAATTATTTTTGAGACATTCAAAACACCAGCAATGTATAATAAAATACTTTCAGAAACATTTTTTGAACCAGAAAATTTATTTTCCAGGTATATTGCAATTCAAGAGGTACTTTCCCTATTTGCGTCAGGTCGTTATACTGGCATTGTTATTAACTCAGGGCATGGTGAGAATTCAAATGTTTAATTAGGGCCAAAAGTCAACCCTACCCACAAGTCAACCCCGACCCCGAACCCCGACATACCCTCCCCGGCAAACCCCGATCCATGACAATTCAGATTTCGAAGGCACGGTGAGCTACCCTATGTTTAATTGAAAGAATAAAAATATTTAAATTTTCTAAGGTGTCACCCACGCTGTTCCAGTTTACGAAGGTTATGCTTTTCCTCATGCTATTCTTCGTCTCGACGTTGCTGGCAATGATTTGACTGATTATTTAATGAAAGTTTCTAAATTAGAAATAAAATTACCTTACAAAAAGTTCAAATATCTAGATGCTCAATGAGCGTGGTTATTCTCTTAGTACAAGTTCTGATCGAAAAACTGTTGAGGAAATGAAAGAGAAACTTTGTTATGTGGCATTGGACTTTGAAAAGGAAATGACAAAGGCAGCTTCGTCTTTGGAGAAAAAATATAAATCGCATTACAACGAATTATTAACTATTGGAAATGAGAGTTTCCGATGTCCAGAGGCGCTCTTTCAGGTGCATAATATTTTTGGTTTAATCAGATAATCCATAGTTATACATACCTATTTACATAGTTTATAATTTACCGGTTCAATTAATGGGAAATTAGAGAAAATAATTGTTGATTTAATTTTTTACTTTTCAAGCCTTCTTTCCTTGGAATGAAAATGGAGGGCATTCATCAGACTTGCTTCAATTCGATTATGAAATGTGACACTGACGTCCATAAAGGTTAAATGATAAATAACCTTCAAGTAAGGCTTATAACCTTTCCTTTTATTTTGGAAAGTATATCAAACCCTTTCCAAAAGATTTAAAGAATTATATCAGATTTCGAAAAGTTTTGTTTTTATTACCCAATTTACTTTTAAAATTTTCAATACTTTTTAGAATTATTTGCAAATATTGTTCTCTCTGGCGGCTCAACAATGTATCCTGGGATTTCTGATCGTATGCAAAAGGAAATCACTGCCCTCGCGCCATCAGAAACAAAAATTAAAATTATAGCTCCACCAGAACGTAAATATTCTGCCTGGATTGGGGGTTCCATTGTTGCATCACTTTCTACATTTCCAAAAATGTTTTTTATTAAAATATACTCAAAAAATTTATATTTTACTTGTAATTACAGATGTATGGGCAAGCAAGAATATGACGAGTTTGGTCCGTCGTTTGTACATCGAAGGTGTTTTTAATCAAAAATTTTATTAATTTCAACTTTTCTAATTCTCAAAACAATTTTTGAAGAAAGGTTAATTCAAAAATTTTAATAAATTAAAGACGAATTTGTAGAATTTATCACTCATTTGACAGATTTTAAATTATTGCCTTTATTGAAGAAATTTAAATTATGAATATTAAATATTCCATTCAATGAATGAAAATTTTTTCTTAATTTTATAAAAAAATCCCCTAGTAATTTTTAAATAAAGAATTGCTTTTAACGATCAATTTATCTTCACCGAATAATATTAGATCACTTCCTTAGGGCTCTCCTAGATAACCAGCATGTTCTCCAAGATGCGATGATTGTCCTCCTTCTTGTTGCCCAAAATCAACTTAAAAATTACAAAAAAAAATTTGGATTGTAATATGTATTACATAAAAAATTATAAGGAGGATTGAATAATATAGATATGAACTACATACTAATAAGAACTATAATAATGTAACTTTCTCGATAAGAACCGTCGGGAATAAGTTAATCCTGCGTTAAAAATAAGAGAGGTGTTTAACTGAGACCTGAAATGGAGATTAAACAGCAAATACATATTTTTAAAAATTTCAGCAGGGAAATAAAATTAAATAAATTTATAACCCCTAGAGATCGGACCAAACATAGATTTGAGCAAATTTTATTTAAATATTTAATCAAATATTCGATTTGTCCGATCTTTATATCCGAGCTCGAAAAAAGGTTATCTTATTGTAAAATTGTCAGTCTAAATCCCTTTTTATATTCAATTTAAAAATAATTATGTACCCTGTTTCAGGTAAGCCAAATACATAAATTTCAAGTAAATTGGATTCATATCATTTTCTTTAGAGTATTTTCCAAAATACTCTAAAACTTCCAAATTATTTAAAATACTCGAATTTTCAATTAAATTCTCAAGGACTTTAGCATTAATTTCAATCGTTTTGATTGATTCTAGATAACTTTCTATTGATATTTCGAATCTTTAATTAAGAAAGAGTTTAGCAAATGTTTAGCCACAGGACAGGACTCCTTGTACACACAGGACAGGACTCCTTGTTAGGTGCTTTCGCTCACTATTTATAGGTCCACTGAGCTACCGGGGCAACGACTAATGCATTCTCTTTTATCCTTTTAGATCATTTAACCCCAGCCTAACCCCAGTCTCACAATTAATTGAAATTTAAATATAATTTAAATAATATGTATTTACGTATTATTTTGTCCATAATAATTATTTAATAAATAATTATAAAAATTAATATTCAAATTATATTCATCAATAAATGATTGAATAAGCATTTTGATAAATTTATATAAATTAAACAAAATAAAAATATTTTGTTCAGAATTTGCTATAAAATGACAATTGTAATAAATTCCTCCTATTTGCGTTTCGCTAAATTAGAAAAATTTTTTTTTGATTATTGTTTAAAACAAAATAAAACATTATTTATGGTTACTCGTTAAATAAAATAATTTTTTTATTTACACATCTTTTTAAAAGAATTAGTTTGGATATGAAATAAATTCAGTTGCGCAGGGTTAGGGTTGTACAAAGTAATGCTTCGTAATTTTGCGGACTTCGTATCACTCAAAATTTTGCCTCGTACTCTTATTTTATATTACGTCGAACTGCCCCTATTTTTACCCGAACTTGTACTCATACGAGTTACGAGTATCAATTTTGGTACGAGTTGCGAAGCACTCTTTCTAGATGCTTTTTTTTAATTTTGAAGATTTTTAGAGCTAATTCTTAAGAGATTAATTAATCCTAAAATCTTTAAAAGATGTTTTCCTCAAAGTCTCAGAACAATTTTGATTTTTAGAGTTCCAGACAATGTCTATTAAAAATAATTTTCAAATATTTACTTTAATTGCATTAATTCTGCATGAATTCTCGTTAAAATTGCATAAATATTATTTTCAACAACTGCAGACAAATCAATTTGAGTTAAATATTTAAAGAATTTTTTAAAATTAGTTGGAGACATTGTATAAGCTATTTCCACAAATCTTTTCATAATAACACTTCTTTTTGTTTGAATATTTGCATATTCATTATAATCTTTTAACTTTATTCCTTTCACCATGTTTTTATAATGTTTAATAACCTATTAAAAATATATTAAAAAAATATATTAAATTCTTTAAAATTAGTTGGAGACATTGTATGAATTTTCGTTTAAAATTTCCGAAAATATATTAAATTATTATCATATGTAGCTCCAAACAGAGCGTGGAACTCTGACAATATCAAATATCCGGCGCTTTACTAATAGCAGAGGTGGGTCGGAATTCCGATTTCCGGCGTTTTTTCCTTCCGATTTCCAAAAAATTTTGATTTCCGATTTCCGACTTTTGAGCCAGTTCCGATTTCCGGCACCTCGGACTGTTCCGACCCACCTCCGTTAAATAGAATGCCCACTTAATTAATATTTCCAAATTTTTAACTATTAAATTTTTTACCTCTCCCAATTTTTTAAATGTTTCATTGAATGGAATGATTTCAAAAATATCTTCAAATTCTAATAAATTACTAAAAAGCCCATCTCCATACTTTTTAATAATTTGAGCCAAATCTTCCTCATAAAAATAATTTAAAAAGAGTTGTTTATTAAAATTAGCAAATATTCTAGCCAAAAGGGATACTTCGACTAAGGAAAATTCTTGATCAGGATGAATGTTGGGCGTTGAAGGACTATCGACTTTATTCTTCCCTTTATTTCTTTTTGAACTAGAGCCTTCTTCAAAATTCCCTTCTTCACGACCTTAATTTTTAAAATTATTGCCAGATCTCATTATAGGATACTCCCAATCAGTTGCGTTAAATTTTGGTCTTGCGTCGCGTTTTGTGTTATTTTTGACGAAAATAACGCAAAAATATAAAATACATCTAATCTGATAACACAAATTGAAGTAACCTAGCTATTGTCCTTACAAATTTCTCAAAATTTTCGCTTGCGGCGCTAAAAGCTGGAAGTCTTTCTAAATACCAATATTCTTTCATTATGGATAAGATAGTGTAATAGTAGTCCTCCCTTAATACTCCGATATCTCCCCCAACTCCCCTGACATTTCCTGTAATCCACTGGTATCTTTTTAAATTCACTTAATTTTTCCAAATATACATATATTCCCGGTATACCTTCAAGCCATCACTCGCTGATATTAGTGATTCTTGAATTTTTAATTGGAAAATGGCTAATACTTGATAACCTCAATTTAAGATTTGTTTTAAAGTTGACTGGCCAATAAACGGGGCTATCTAAACAATACCTCTAATTTAAGATAACCCCGTTATAAAATAATAATGTATGCTAAATTTCAGATCAAGTGTGGGTTTATATTGAGGTTCTACTGGAATAATTTGAAAAATTTAAAGAATTATAAACCTCGTTTTAAACTTTGCATTCCTTTGACAATTTTTAATTGAAATGAAATTAAAAAGAAAAATAGTAAAATAATTTTCATTTTTAATTTTGAACTTTTTAGAAAATAATTATTCAACAAAAACTTTTATAGGCCCGTCAGTCTTTGAAATAATTTTTAATAAAAAAAATACCTCAAAACCACGTTTATTTTTGGGGTTTATATTTTACATAAGATGAACCTAGCCATAACCCTTTATAAATAAACCTATTTTTACTAGAAAATTAAAAAGATTGGCGGACCTAACACCGACAGATCGCGAAATTTAAAGTTAAATGTTTTTAAAATTTTAAAAGTAAATTAAAGTTATTTATTTACACTAAAATTTATATAAAGAAAAATTTTGTAATGAGTAAAAAGCACTTTAAAATAAAAACAAATTTCTCAATCGTCTGTGCCAATATATGCCCTTTCCTTAATATTTAAAAAAAATATTTAGACTTAAAAATAAGAAATATTATAAGTGCAAGCCACGAATTGTCTAACTTTATCAAATTCGTTGACTTAGTGCAAGCTTCGTTTTCGATTAATTTCTTAAAAATTAATTTAAAAAACTCGAAGACATTAAAGGATTTCTTAAAAATCTGTTAATAACAATCATGTAGGCTTAAGTGTTGCAATAGACAGATAACATAAATATATGCCTTCTCAATCAAGCAACAACAACAAACGCAACAACAGGTTCAACTGTCCGACATTAGTGGTTTTTACTTAACTATTTTTACGAACTTATTTAATGAAATGAACGAGAAAACCAAGTACCTAAACAAGTCAAAACTTCCAATTTCAAAAAAGATCTTAAAGTTCAGAAAAAATCTTAAAATAAAGGAGGGAAGGCCGTCGGAAAGGCGGTTAGGTTAAAGGAAAGTTTTGAATATGATGGGAGGAAGTAACAATCAAAATATAATGAAAATAAATGATAAAAATGGGAAAATGGTTTTAGGGAAGAAGGTAAATTTGAATATTGAGAAAAGGTTGAATGAATATTAATTTAAATCACTATTTAGTAGTCCTCTCCCCTTTCTATTTTTTCATTAAACTTTTAATTTCTCCATTTTTGAAACCACATTTCTCGGAAGAAAAAATTGAAAAAAAATCTTTAAATTATTCTTAACCAAATTCATTATTTGCTTTAATTTTTAGAATTTATTGAAGAAAAAAACGATTTTCTCTTTTATTTTTTTTATTTTTAAAATTAATCTAATTAATTTTTAAAATATAAACTTTTTCTTTGATCCTTTCAACTTCCTTATATCAAGATTCGACTGTAACTACTAGAGATAATGAGTGAAGTTGTTGCTCTTGTGATCGACAATGGTTCTGGAATGTGTAAAGTACATGTTCATTATTTAAATTTCCGATTCTTGCTCGAACCCTCCAAAAGATCGGAGCAGGAGCAGGAAAAATTTTAAATTTTGTTACCCCTTTTTCCTTCAAAAGGGGGTTTTCCTTCAAAGGGTTTTCTCAATTTAACTATATTTCGTGATGAGATCTTGACTATTTCCTACTAGATATAATCATTCGATAAAAGACTAACAATTTAACTTCAAATTGAGTAGAAACTTTTTGTTACGACCCGAGGTGTCCGAGATTTAACTAATGTCGACGAGCACAATAATAACACTTTATCACACGAAGAAATAAACAATGTGTAGGCGAAGGGAATGGGACAGACGAAGGAGATCAGTGACTAGCCCCGCTAGTATGATCCGAATAGACTGACGTTTTCTCTGGCTTTTATAGTAAACACTTTAAGGGCTGACGCCCATACACAACACTTTTAAACATTTTAAGGCTGGTTTTGCTGGTGAAGACGCTCCTCGTGCTGTCTTTCCTTCAATTGTGGGACGTCACCATAAGGGCAGGTTTAGTTCTACTTGCAAGTACAATTTTGTTGGCGATCAAGCTCAAATTATGCGTAGAATTTTGTCTATCAAATATCCCATTAAACGTGGAATTATTACGAATTGGGATGATATGGAGAGAATCTGGCATCACACATTCTACAATGAATTACGTCTTGAGCCTATGGAACACGCTGTATTATTGACTGAGGCTCCAAATAACCCAAAGGCTAATCGGGAAAAGATGACTGAAATTATGTTTGAGACATTCAAAATCCCGTCAATGTCTTGAAAAATACAAGTTTTGAAAAATAAAATTTAATTTCCAGGTATGTTGCAAATCAAGCGGTGCTTTCATTATACGGTTCTGGTCGTACTACTGGCGTTGTTATCAACTCCGGATATGGTAGGAGTTAAATAATTAATTTAGACGTAATAAAAATTAAAATTTTTAAGATGTCACTCATATAGTTCCAGTTTATGAATGTTATGCAATTTCTCCTGCTATTCTCCATCTCGACTTTGCTGGCAATGATTTAACGGATTATTTAATGAAAGTTGCTTTTTTATCATTTTTATTCAATAAATCAGTTTTTAAAAAGATTATCAACGAGCATAGTAGATATTCGGTTATTAAAACTACTGAGCGGGAAATTGTTGGAAAAATTAAAGAGAAGCTTTGTTATGTTGCATTAGATTTTAAACAGGAAATGTCAAAGGCGGCTTCTTCCTTGGAGAAAAAATATGAATTGCCTGATAAAGATGTGATAACTATTGGAAATGAATGTTTTCGATGTCCCGAGGCACTCTTTCAGGTGCATAATAATTTTAGTTTATCGCCTGTTTAATTTGTTGTTATTTACCTTTTTAAATTGATATGATAAAATTTTTACTTTTCAAGCCTTCTTTCCTCGGAATGAACATGAATGGCATTCATGAGACTTGTTTCAATTCGATTATGAAATGTGACAAAAGCCTCAGTAAAGGTGCGTTAATAAATAACTATAATCAAACAAGTCCTGTGTGGGCATGCTTTTTGTGATGTTGAAAGGGATTAAAACAAATGCTCATAACTATGTTGATTCAAGTCAGATTTTGATGATTCTAGTGCCGTTCGACTCGGATCGAAGAGCTCTTTCGAATAGAACATAAAAAAGGGGGGGCGTCATCCGAAGAATTACCTTACATTTTCTATATTTGGTAAAAATTTTTAATTTATTTATCCATTAAAACATTATGAGATTAAAAAATCTTAGGTGGGGCTATAGTTATGTTATAAACGGTATATATATATCGCTTTTAATTGATGGACTATTTTTCATTTCTAAAATTTTCAATACTTTTGTAGAATTGTTTGCAAATATTGTTCTTTCTGGTGGAACAACAATGTATCCTGGGATTTCTGATCGTATGAAAAAGGAGCTCACTGATCTCACACCGCGAACAATGAATATTAATATTATAGCTCCTCCAGATCGTAAATATACTGCTTGGATTGGGGGTTCCGTTCTTGCATCACTTCCTACATTTCAAAACATGTATGTACTTTCGGTCATTTACTTTGTCATTTTCTAATAAAGAAGATCCACTCCAAAAATTGGGTAGTTCTGTAGCTTTAAATATGTACCGTATACCTGTATTAATTTCCCTCCCTCAAATAATTACCCCACTTCCATTAATTACCCCATCCAGCGATAGATTGAAACAATAATTACCCCCAAACAAATGCCCTAAAACACGTTGAAATTTCAAACCTCATATAATTACCCTCCCTCGATTTATTACTCCCTCCTCAATAATTACCCAGGGTAGTTATTAAAGGATATAATGTATTTAATTTATTTTTTACTTCTAATTACAGGTGGATATCCTTGGACGAGTATGACGAGTCCGGCCCGGCGATTGTACATAGAAAATGTTTCTGTCACTAGTTTAAAATGGATATGGAAATTATTGTAAACGCAGCCTAACAAAATTCTTTGATTAATTTTAGTTTGTAATTTATTGAGTTTAAAATAATTTTTTTCTTCTGAAAAAAATTCTTGTATAAATTATACATATATTCAAGTTTTTTTTATTTTTTTCGACTGTTATTGTAATACCTAATGTTGGGTAAAACATGCAAATGAGTGTTATGTATGCGAATATACCTTTATTAGAGAAGCTCAGAATGATGTTTTGTTAGTCCGAATACCTTAGAACTGTTAATCAGGATCTGTAAAAATATCGAGATTTCGGGGGAGGGGGGGGGGCCTCGAAAATCGGAGTTCCGAAACAGCTCTAATCCAGATTCACGGAATAATACATATTTCAGTTTGTCTCTCAATATTTTATTCAAATGCTTGTGAATCAATTTTTACGTATTTTATTGAATTCTTCGCCATTGAATAAATAATGTTGGTTGTGCCAATTGTCTTTGCTTTCTAAAAAATTAAATAGAAAAAAATAAACAATTCGAATATTTAAATTACTAGCATTTTGAGATGGGACGAATTTGCATTTGGGACGAATCCGGGCTGGGACGAATCGGCGCTCATTGTATTTTAACTTTTTTACTCGTGGCGATATTTTAAGAGTGCGGTGTTTTGAGCGGCACGGAAAAAATGCAAGAAAAGTTTTTTATTTTTCATATTTTTGTTTTTAAGAGATTTTTATCGAATATAATTGTTTTAATTCTTACAGTTAAAAAATTTTTTGTTTTTCTAAAATGTCTTCAAAAACAGATGGAGGAAGCAAATATTTATGTTATGTATCTATTGCAACACTTAAGCCGGAGAAATTGCCTTTGGTAAATAATTTTTTATTTTTTTTGCGGATAATCCGCAAATATTTTTTATTTTTTAAGGAACTAATTGGGAATGGAGCATGCCGTTCAGTCAACGAATTTGATAAAATTAGACAACTTGGGGCTGGAACTTATGGAATTGTTTATGAAGGGAAGGACAAAAAGAATGGAAAAACTGCAAGTTTTTTTTTGTTTTTAATTTTCAAAAAAATTTTTTTTTCAAATTTTTAGGTAGCTCTTAAACAAGTCCGGTTGGATTTAAAAAAAGAAGGGGTTTCGATTTCTGTAATGAGAGAAATTCAATCTTTAATGGATATTGAACACGAAAATATTGTCAGACTTTTTGATGTTGTTGTGGGAAGGAAAATTGAACAAATATTTTTGGTTATGGAATATTGTGATCAGGTTTTTTTTTTGAAATTATTTCTTTTTTAATTCTGTCCAAAATATAGAGGAACATTTTTTGAGACGGAGGGGTCATTTCCTAAAATAATCTAAAAAATATAGAGTAAAATAGACAAGAATTTGAATATTTTACAAAAACACAATTTGACCATTTTGCAAATATTATTCTGAAATGCATAGGTTAGGCTCGTAGCCAGGATTTTTTCCGAGAGGGGGGCCAAGGGGGAAATTTTTTGCCGCTGAAGGCGCCTAAAATAAAATTTTGAGAATTTTAGAAGGCCGTAGACCAAAAAAATTAACTTTTTGCCCAATCCCTTCCCCAAATTTTTTCCTTTTCCCATTTCGGGGGGGGGGGGCTTGGCATAGGTAAATGACACTTAATCTCAAAATTAATACATAAAAAATAACTTAAAAAAGTTTTTCCCCAAAAAGGATTTAGCTTCTCTTCTGGACAACATGCAGACTCCCTTTAGCGAATCCCAAGTAAAATGTATTTTGCTTCAATTATTTAAAGGTGTAGCACATTTACACAGTCGATTCTTCATTCATCGAGATATTAAAGTTTTTTTTAATTTCAAAAAAAAAAGAAATTTTTTCAAAAATTTTTTAAGGTTTCCAATTTATTGTTGACAGAACAGGGAATTCTAAAAATTGCTGATTTTGGATTGGCCAGACTTTATGGTGATCCCCCTACAGAAATGACGCCCAGAGTTGTTACTTTGTGGTATAGATCGCCAGAATTGTTGTTTGGAAGTAAATACCAATCCCCGGCTATTGATATGTGGGCGTGTGGATGGTTTGTGTTGATTTTGTTTATTTTTAAATATAAAGTCTTTTTGAAATTTTTTTCGACAAAATAATTTTAGAAAAGTTTAGATTATTGATGGGACCTTTACTCTTTTCTGGATTCAGAACTCATTTTGACAGTTTAACATTAGTTCTAGGGTTGGGGTTTTCGTGTCGGGCCGACGTTCTTGTCTTTTTTTGTTTCATTTTTATCGTGCCGGTCCGACCGAGTCTTTTTCGGGCTTAATTTTTATCGGGTCGGGCATCAAATCTTCTGGCCAAAATTCGATGCCCGATTCGATCATTCGGACCGGACCGGGCCCCAAACCTAATTTAGTCAGTCTCGTACTGTGGTTACATAAAAGTCGTTTTGCCTCTTGCAATTAAAAATAGGATTCTTGTTTCCTCATTTTTATTCTATTTTTGGTCGAATGACGTAAAGAGATTTGTAGCCACAACATTTTAGTTAACATTTTTTTCTTTTATTTTTATCAAAAAATAATTTAAAAATTAAAATTCAGTATAATGGGTGAATTACTGCTACATAAACCTTTAATGCCTGGAAAAGACGAAATTGATCAAGTTTAAAATATTTTCTCCAAAAATTTAATTTAAAACAATTATTTTCAGATTAGGCTTATAATTGGACTGTTAGGCACCCCAACAGAAAAAATTTGGCCGGGAATGTCAAAACTTCCAATTTTGGAGAAAATGCAATTAATGAAACAACCCTATAATAATATTAAAGCTTTATTTTCTGACAGAGTGCCCGAATGTTTAAAGCTTTTAAATTCTTTGTTTGTTTATGATCCAAAGTAAAGGAAAAAATTTTGGCGCTGGTTTAGTTTATGCGTCCAATCAAAAAATAATTGGATTTTCCTTCGTATTTCAAAATTGAGGTATGGTTCCAAAACATTTCTTCATGTTCGGGACCTATGGCCACGGGGTCTGGGACCGTTTTTATGCTTTACTTTATCCCGCGAAATTTTTGAAACTTATAGCCAATTTTAAACAATTTCAGAAAAACGATTTTACCTTTCAGAATTTCGAGGGAAGGGTAAGGAACGGTCCCAGACCTAGTGGCCGTAGGTCCATAACATAAAGAAATGTTTTGGTACCATACCCCAACTTTGTAAACTAAGAAAAATCCAATTCTCTTTTGATTGTACGCGTAATAAATAGTTCATTGGACGCATAAACTAGACCAGCGCAAAATTTTTGAAAAATTTTTTAAAAAATTTAACATTTTTTAGACGTCGTTCAACAGCTGAACAGTGTTTAGACAACGAATATTTTAGACTTTCCCCACTCCCTTGTGACCCTTCAATGATGCCGTCATTGAGTGGGTTGACTAGAAAACGAAAAAGAGGAAAGGAAAGTTCCTGAAAATTTTCAAAAATTTTGAAATAAATCTCTTAAAATTTATCTAAAAAAATTTTGTTTAGGCGGCATTTTCTCTTTTCAACACTAAAAACATCAAAAAGTTTACCGCTAAACTTTTTAAATTTTTTTTGGATATATCAAGTTGCAAATAAAAGCCGCCTCCTTTTTAATAATTTTTAAATAAAAGGGAAAAGTTGAAAATATTTATTAAAAATTGTTTTGATTTTTATTTTTTTTAATTTTAAATTTTAAAAATAAAATTTTTGATTCTTTTCGTTAAAAATTAGATTGGTTGGTAACCGGAGCTAATCTGACACGCCTATTCGAGCTGAGTCGAATGGCTAAGTCGAAAAGTATCAAAATTATTCAGTTTCGACCATTTTAAACGAAGTTATTGTCAAATAAATACACGTTGGTATACACTTCTTTGTAGAAAATCGGCATCATAACTTCGTTAAAAATGGTCTAAACTGAAAAATTTTGATATCATTCGACTCAGAATAAAGAGACGAGTCAAAATGACCATAATACCGTAATTTCGAATTACTACTCCGAATTCGACTTTGTCGAATTCGGGTCCGGGGTTCGAAATCGGCAAATTCTAAGCTTAGATTCGTGATCAGCATGGTCGATTACCTATATAAAATTATTTTCAGAAAAAAATAATAATTTTAAAGGTGTTTTTAAGGTGTCTCCCAGATTCTGCAGGATTACCGAGATATTAAAGTTTTTTGAAGTTTAAAAAAAATTATTTTTTCAAAAATTCTTTTAAGGTTTCCAATTTATTGTTGACAGAACAGGGAATTCTTAAAATTGCTGATTTTGGATTGGCCAGACTTTATGGTGATCCCCCTACAGAAATGACACCCAGAGTTGTTACTTTGTGGTATAGATCTCCAGAATTGTTGTTTGGAAGTAAATACCAATCACCGGCTATTGATATGTGGGCCTGTGGATGGTTTGTGTTAATCTTGTTTATTTTTAAATAGGAAGTTTTTTGGAGTTTTTTTTCGACAAATTAATTTCAGAAAAGTTAGGATTATTGAGGTGACCTTTCCTTTTTCTAGATTCTGGACTTATCTTGACAGTTTTTACATTAGTTCTGGTGTTGGTGTTTTCGAGTTGGGCCGACGTTCTAGTCTTTTTTTTCGGGCCTCATTTTTATCATGACGGCCCGACCGAGTCTTTTCCGCAAGTCTTTTTTGGGCCAAAATTCGATGCCCGACTCGATCTTTTGGACCAGACCGGGCCCCAAACCTAATTTAGTCCTCTTATACCGTGGTTGCATAAAGCAATTAAAAATAGGGTTGAAAAGAAAAGACAAAATATTTTGTTTCCTCATTTTTATTCTATTTTTGGTCGAAAGACGCAAAGAGACTTGTATTTAATTTTAAAAAATTTAAAAATTAAATTTCAGTATAATGGGTGAATTACTGCTACATAAACCTTTAATGCCTGGAAAAGACGAAATTGATCAGGTTTAAAATATTTTCTCCAAAAAAACAATTATTTTTAGATTAGGCTTATAATTGGACTGTTAGGCACCCCAACAGAAAAAATTTGGCCGGGAATGTCAAAACTTCCAATTTTGGAAAAAATGCAATTAATGAAGCAACCCTATAATAATATTAAAGCTTTATTTTCTGACAGAGTTCCCGAATGTTTAAAGCTTTTGAATTCTTTGTTTGTTTATGATCCAAAGTAAAGAAAAAAAAATTTGGCGCTAGTCTATTTTATGCGTCCAATTAAAAAATTATTGATTTTTCTTGGTGTTGCAAAGTAGCCTACTTTGCAACACCAAGAAAAATGACCCTATCCTGCGAAATTTTTGAAAATTATGGCCAATTTTAAAAAATTTCAGAAAAGCGATTTTACCTTTCAGAAATTAAGGAACGATCCCAGACCCAGTGGGTATAGTGCCCGAACATGAAGAAATGTTTTGGAGCCATACCCCAACTTTGTAACACCACGAAAAATCCAATTTTCTTCTAATTTGACTCAAAAGTTTATTAAACAAACTAGACCAGCGCCAAAAATTTTTGAAAAAAAATTAAAAATTTTAGACGTCGTTCAACAGCCGAACAATGTTTAGACAACGAATATTTTAGATTATCCCCACTCCCTTGTGACCCTTCAATGATGCCTTCATTGAGTGGATTGACTAGAAAACGAAAAAGAGGAAAGGAAAGTTCTTGAAAATTTTTTAAAATTTTGAAATAAATCCTTTAAATCTTAAAAAAATTTTGTTTAGGCGGCATTTTCTCTTTTAAACACTAAAAACATCAAAAAGTTTACCGCTAAACTCTAAAATTTTTTAGATATCAAGTTGCAAATAAAAAGCCGCCTTCTTTTTAATAATTCTTAAATAAAAGGGAAAAAGTTGGAAATATTTATTAAAAATTGTTTTTATTTTTTTAATTTTAAATTTTAAAAATAAAATTTTTTGATTCTTTTCTTTTGGTAAAAATTAGGGTAATTCTTAAAATAATTGGCCACTAGAAAAAATGCTAAAAATGCTCTTTCGATATTTTTGAGGCTGTCCAGTAGGTAATCGAGTATGCTGAGTCGGTTTTCGGTTTCGATTTTTTGGTTGACCCCCGGTCTTTGGTTAACCGAGATTGGTTTTTTGATTGTATTTTATTTTTTTAAATGTTTAATATAAAATTTTAATAATAATCTTTTAATTCTTTGCTCCTTTTTTTCTAAAAAAAATTAATTCTCTCTAAATTTCGATTAAAATAATTATAAGCAATAAATTAATTAAAAACGGTTCGAGTCTTTTAAAAAAAGAATATAAAAATAAATAAAGAATAAAAGACATGTGTTTAATATAAATAAATCTACTCTCCCCCAAAAACATTTGAAAAAAACATTTAATTTTCTTTAAAAACAAATGTTTTCTTTTAAAGGTGTTTTGTGTTGGTTCTTTCTAAAATATAATTCAATTCTTTTACCAGTTGTTGTTCATTTTGCAAAAACTTTTAAAATTTCTCTTTAATTAAAAAAATAATTATTTACCTACTTAAATACAATTTCAACATTAAAATGAATATAATTCTGTCAAATAAATTTTTAATTATTTTTTGGATGCCGTTTGAATTGTTTTTTGTTTTTATATCAAAAACAGTTGCTTATTCTGATGTAAATTTTAAATAGAAATTTAAATATAAAAATGACTAAAAAGTTTAGTTAATAAGTTGAGGGGCATTGCTTTCTCTTTTTTAACCTCTTCTTTGTCTTAACCCTTCCTTTTGTTCTCTCAGACATCAAAATTTAAGTTTAGCATCGCAGGCGATCAGTTTCGAATTCACAAATCAATTTAAAAAATTTCAATTTAAAAAGCATTAATTGATGTATCGTAAATGCTTTAATAGAATCACACTCTCTAATATAAGCACACCCTATGAGAGGATCGAAAATACAAGCAATTAGAGCATTTACGTTAAATACTTTTTAATTTAATTAAGCCCTACACAATTCAAAGAGTTTACAACGCCCAACAACCCCAACATTTACATGAACGTAATTATCAACAGCAATGCAATTTACCGCCTGATTTTTGGTGATTTCCTTAAATTAATAAAAAATTTGAAATATATTTTAAGGTGTGATAATTATGAAATTGCACAGAGGTGTAATGTTGTTCAAGTAAAAAATAATTTAAAATTAGAATTTATTTAAAATAATGCCAAGTCTTTTACTACCTTTTTATTTTATATTAATCAAAAAGTCGTAGGATCTCAATATACTTGTTGTTTAAGAGAGATTTGTAAGGATGATTACCCTAGAGCATTTAAAACGCTTAAGCAGGGGTTAACCGATCTAAAGGGATAAAAGAAAGCATTAGTCGATGCCTCCGATAGATCAGTAGTAGAACACCTGTATTTGAGTGAGTAAGGCCGAGTGAGCACTGTCAGTGTTGTCGAAGGTTCGAATCCTGCAAGGTGGCTAAAGTTTAGCTGAACTCTTTCTGATCTTCTAGCCCCTTTTGTTTTCATTTTTAATAAATAAAATTTGATAATTTTAATCAAAATTTACATGAGAATATAAAAAAATAAACAATTAACCTCTTTTTATTAAGCAATGTGAAAACTTCAAACGGTCTACTTCAAGTCGGCCCCTAACAATAACTTTAATGTTCGAAGCTTTATGCCCTTACTGTCAAAGATATATAGCTAATAATCTTGGCTCTTTACTATATAAATTTGGAAACCAAACAATTTTGGAATTGGTGAGGGAGTTTTCTTAAGGAATTTAAAAAATTATTTTTCTGTCATTTTCAGGTTCCTTGGGGAAATAGTCTTTTGCTAAGAAATGGAAAAATATCGTATGTCCATTATATTTTAATTAAAAAAATTTTTTTTTATTTTTTCTTAAATTCTATATTTACTTATTTATTTTGAAATTAATGCTGGGTATTTTTGGCTCGCACTTTTGGCTCACATAATACACCTAATAATTGCCACACAATTTTCTCCCCTTGATGATCTATTTCTTAGCTTAATAAATTATTTTTTAGCTCAATGAGTTTTTCTAATAACTTTTCAAAACGAATTTTTGTTTTGTCTTGAACTAGTATGTAGATCCCCTTTAGAGTTTTTCAGTCTTTAGCCGGCTGTATTTCAAAGATTCAAAATCCGTCTACAGAAATATACATATGCACCAGGGATATGCCGAAACAAATTTTAGAAGGCGAAAGTTAATTCAAAGAGCAAAACATTTCGCCAAAATTCCGCCAAAAAGGCAAAAAAGGCTTTTATAACCTCCAATAGGGCATTTTAGCATTTGTCAGTGTTTATAGTTTAAGTGTTTACCCCTTTTACCTTTAATTAATAAATTTATTTTAGTTGTAATCACGGCCCTAAGGAATGTGATGCAAACCGTTTACTTTCTTGTGTAATTAGTGAAGTTTCTGTTTCGCAGTCAGTGCAATTCACCATATGTTTTGAGCGATCCTTGTCTGCCGATTCACCTGTAGAGCAAGCAATGCATACTTGTTCTAGTTTTATTCGGGAAAGATATCGACAAATAAAGTACCAAAAAATTTTTTTAAATAAGCAATTATTTGATAATTTTTAAGGCAATGTTATGTTGGAGAAAGGGGGCAACAGGTTATTATATATTAGTTATTGTCCTTATTTTTGAATTTTTTTCAAGCTCCAAAGACAAGCTGCTCAACGTACAATGACTTCAAAACCGAATCCAATTGTTGAAGTTCCTTATTTGCTTGTTAATGATTATACACCAAGTTTGGACGGAAATGCTATTAATAATGTTTGTCTTCCCCATTTAATACAAAAATGGGTGAATCTGAGAAATGTTTATTAAATGTTGTTGTTGAATTTTTTTGTTTATATAATAATAATAAAGCTTAATCTTTAATATATGGGAAGTTGGGCGATTCTTGGAATTGAGGTTTAGGAGTCCCAAATCATGGAGGATTTGGGACTCATATTCTCTCATGGGACGCATATTCTATTTTTGGGACGCATATAATTTCTTGGGACGGATGTCCTAAGATATAGCCTAATCTTCTTTCCCTCCCTCTATACATATTACCAGATCTTGTCAATTTTTAAAGAGAAGTAGCAGCATATATGTAGCATTAAAAAAATTTTTCCTATTCATTTAAAAAAATATTATTGCTTTTAAATTTTTCATTTAAGAATTTTTATAAAAATTTTTAATTTTAAATATTTAACATTTAATTTTTAATAAAACAAACAATTATTCAAAACATAAAAGGGATTTTTAGTTAAGACATAAAAAATAATTTTAATTTTACAAATTAAGAAAAAATGAATTTGTTTTTATTAACTTTAATTTTTTCTTTTGAATTAATTCTGCTTGATTTGGCTAATGGAATGGATCCTAAAGGATGTTAGTAATTAGAGTTTAACTCTTGTTATGTATAGTCCCTCCCCTTATTAACTGACCGATATTTGGACTATAACAGAACTGGGAATAAATCGTTTAATGTTTTCCTAATTACCCAGCCATGGCTGGGTCGGCTTTGGACCCCGATATTCATAAAACATGCTTGAGAGATTTATTTTTAAGAAGATTTATATATTCGGTAAAAATTACAAATACTTTAATCCAGTAATTCAAATTTTCTAAAAGTTTATTTCTTTAATAAATAAAAATTAAGCCGGAAGAAAACGAGGTTCTGGAAGCTCCAGTTCAAAGAAAAAGAAAGAAATAGAAAATTTGGAAGAAGAATGCATTAATTTGGGTGGTGAAAGTCGCTTATACGAAGGGTTTGCATTAAATACTAAAAATGTGGAAGACTTGGTCTTTAATAGTGCTGTTCGAGATTGTCGGTCTCGAATTGAGAAATTTCCCGGGGTTTTGATTGTCTCGATCTCGGCATTTTAGTCTCTGAAAATGAGAAAAATTTACAACCCCTCTCCCTGCTAAAGGAGCAAATTTCTTGTCGTAACGATTGAAATTACTAAAAATTTCCTTCTTCGTTCTGAAATTTAACATTTTTTGCAACTTTGGCGCCTTAAATTTAGAAAAATTCCACAAACTGAAAATTTAGGTAAGTAAAAATTTGCCCTGTGACAAAGAAAATGCCTTACATAATTTTAAAAATCTCACAATTCTTTTTTTATAAAATCAAACAATTTTAATTAAAATTTTACACACAGAGAAGAATATAATGTTGGTGAAATTGTTGAGGTTAACATTGAAGGTGATTATTATCTTGCAAAATTAAGAAAAATAAGTGAAAAAAAGTTTACTGAAGTAATCAAAAGTGAAGATAACCTGAACGGAAGGGAAGTAAAAAGAGGTACTGCTTATTTGCGAAAGGCTTTGGAAGTGGGTGATTTTGTTGGGTTAAAGAACAAGCACAAAGAGACTGGAGAGGACGAAGTTCTTTTGTCAAAAGTCAAAAGGATGTTGGAAAATGGAAAATACACAATTCAAATCATTCAGAAACCACTTTTTGGGACATACCTTGATAAACTTCCTCGAGAATTAACTATAACTAAAGCTTTTGTCGTCATAACGGAAAATAACCCTAATTTTCTCTCTAATATTTTTATAAAATCAAGTTATTAACAATTAATTAATTTTGTGTTCAAACAAAACAAAATTTTTTTCAAACAAATCTTTTCTTTATTTAAAACAAGAATGGGCACAATTTTTTTGTTTACAATTCTCAAAACTTGATGAGTATTTTAAAAAAAAATTATTTTTTAGAGCGCCCCAAATATTTTTTATTTTCATCAAATACTTTTCTGATTTTTAGTGGGTTGGAAAAGACTGGGAAACATTCTGGGGAACTCATTCAGGCCATCGGGCCGGGCATTTAAAGAGAAATAATGCCTAAAAGTTTATCTAAAAATTAGTTTTGAGTTTTGTAAAATTTTTTTGTTGTGCACATTCTTTATATTTAAATTCTGTCAAAATTAGTTTTTTAAATTTATTTTCTTTTACTCAGAAAAGCAACTAATTTTAAGTATTTTTTAATATCTATTAAAATTAGACATATTCGTCCAAGATTATGATCCGGTTGACAAGGATTTACGATCCAGATATAGTTAAAGATATCGATGCAAAAAACCCCCGATATTTTCGATAATCGATGTTATCCTTCCCGTTATAATTTTAAAAATTATTTTTTAAAACAAACTGTGTTGCTTTTCTGCTTTTCACAAACAATTATTATTTTACCAAATTTTCTTTTTATCAAATTTTCTAATTTTTATATTAGGTAATTTATTTCTCATTTTCAAACATTTTTTCGTATAAATCTGGGTAAAAATGTAATTTCAATTTAATAGAATTTTATACAAATTAATTATTTAATGACAAAATTGGTGAGAAATCAGCCTCCGCAATAACAGTTTTAACTTGAAATTAATTAATTATCTTGTTTTCCCTCCCTCTAATTACGTGAGATAATTTATCTTACAAAAGATCCCCCCTTAAGACAATTTACTAAACATTAACAATAAAAAATAAAAAGAAATAAGATTTTAATATAATTCTTTCATTGAGATCTCTAAAATCTCCAAAAAATTAACGGAACTTCTGTTTGAAAATAATCACAACCTCCCGGTAATTCCCTCGCGCCTGTTTATAATTTGTTAATTTTTTGTTATAAATATTTTTACTGTAAATTCGATTTTACATGTAATAATTTAACCGGAAGAGGAGATTAGTGAGGGTTGCCTTCTCTTTTTATAATGCCCAAATCTTGTCAATTTTTAGTGAGAGTTGTGGCAAATTTAAAAAATAGTTATCTGATCTCATTATTTTTTATTTGATAAAGTTATGTAAATAACACAGGAAAAATTTTCGCGTCGTTAGAAAGGAAGGGAGGATAAGATAATGGTACAAATACCAGAATATCTTATATAAATAAATCTTCTTTATCACTTTAAATCTTAAATATTTTTAAAAAATCTGAACTAAAAATTTTTATCAGAACTACAATTTTTTAATAGTAATATACTAGAATATGCAATAATTAGGGATTGGATTTTTAGGGTATAACCTATTTTTTCCTGAAATAGGTAGTTATGGTGTGAGAAGCTCAAATCGTTTGTTAGCTTTTAAATATTTCATGTTTACGTGAAGTTATTGTCACCTATTGAAACCTATTTTAGTTTTGCAACCTAAATATGTAGGTGTAACCCATTTAAAGATTTTTTATATTTTCATAACTATTTTGGATATTTTTTCGTAGAAATATGACTTTTTTAATCAAAAATTTTGAATAAAAAACTTGTAATTTTTAGAAAAAAATTTTTCAAAAATTCAAGAATTTTTCTTAATTATTATTTTCAATTGATAATTATGAAAAATGAAAATTTTTTATTATTTTTATTTTACCTAAGGAATTTTTGAATGAAAAATATAAATTATTTGGCATTTTTGTCCTTTTCATCCCATTATGTCTACCTTTTTTCACCCTATCTCTCCATTTTTGCAACCTATTTCTTTATGTTTGTCACCTATTTTTACATTTTATACAATGTATTTAGTAGTGTTTCACCGGAACCGAAATTTTGACCGGAACCGGAACCGGAACCGGATCCAATTTGAGTTCCGGCCCGGAACCGGAACCGGAACTTCCGGTGAAACTCTAGTATTTAGGTGCCTGTTTTAAGGTTTTTTAACAACCTAAAATAAAATAAATCCGATCCCTAGTAATAATGTAACTGTCAACAGTGTAAAATCTTTTCGGCTAATAGAAGAAAACTAGTAAAGAAATTAAAAAATGACATTTAAGAAATTTTAAATGTATTTGAAATCACTATAACCCTTGTGATAGAGTCGGCAAATTAGAGAAAATTCGGTCTAGATAGTTATTGTGTAAAGCTATATTAACGATTATTAAGTAAAGCTCAAAAAACTGGCAAAAGTTTAACTTTCAGACTCCTGAACCTTGAAAATGGGAAGGGGAGATCAAGCTCAATTTTTGGGGCACGCTTATTATGATGTTCGATAACACTTTAAATTTGCTTGTTGTCATTTCATTTGTTCTTGCCAAAGTATGTATACGAATGTCGTCGGATTGCTTCGACGGTTGGGAATGATTACGGGTTGGAATTAAAGTTGGGAATGATTACGGGAATGATTACGGGTCGTGGCACCAATTTTAACGAGAACTGCCTAGGTCGGGATTCCCGTGAGGGAACTAGGAGTTCAGCGTTAAAAGATAGTCGAAAGTGTGTTGAGGATGATGAGTGTCTTAATCCCAAAGATTAAGACGTGGCAAACCAAAAAGGATGTTAGGCGATTAGGCGAGGGTTGATGGATGGCCAAGTTTAGACGATAGACGAACAATTGAATATTCCCAAAGAATATTCACAGAATATTACCAAAAGAATAGCAAAAATACAAGAATATTTTAAATATTTATTTAATTAAAGAAATTATATAATTGTATGTGTGTGTGGTTATTTGAAAAGTTGGGAATGATTAAGTCAAAACTGATTATGTCAAAACATTTGTGGGTATGTAAAAAGTGTTATGTCAAAACATTTTATGTGTAAGTCAGAACTTAATATATGGGAAAAATGATTATGTTTAAATAGGCCAGAAACGGTGTGTGTGGTATGGAATGTGGGCAATTGAAAAAGGCATTAATTATTATATGTTTGCGGTTAAAAAGTTGGGCGGAAGTGGCAAAAATGGATGAAATTATTATTAAAAGATTGGAATTTTAGATAAAAATGGATAATTTCATCCATTTATGGAAAAGGTGGAAAAGAGCAAAATAGGCGATAACGATCAAAATGATGTCATACAAAAAAAGGAAAAATTAATTTAATAATTTTCATCCTTCGGCGAAAATTTCGAGAAATTTT